ACTGTTCTCTGCAGGTACTGCACATGTCCAAATATGGGTAAACACACATACATGAAATAAAGCTTAAAATGAAATTCTGTAGAGTTATGTCATAACTTTGAGATAGACAGTGTCATGCGTAGATAAAATGAATTATTTCTGATCCTTCATAGGCCAGATATGGCCTTCCTCTGAGTGAGCTTACTCAGCAAAAAGAAAGACTTATTCTGATGAAAGAAGAGCTCAGACTAGTTATTCACTTAAGAACATCATTCACAGTGTGCAAAGATTCATGCAAATGCCTACTCCCTCCTCCTAGTAAACCAACCATAAACCAAAGTATGATTCCATCAAAGTCCAGTTTGTGAACCATGAGGTTTGGGGGCTGATGAATTTCCTGTGAGAGCATGGGTGACTCTAGAGTAGCCACACCACTGAATAGTTTCACACCAGCATGGATGGTGACTTGCATACCTTTCGTAGTTTATAAATGCTAGCATCTCTAATGAATACAAAGCTGTGGGTCAGAATTACATATAGATATTTGGCAGGTGAAGGAGGGGGACCCAGAGTCTGAAGGTGCATTGATCCTCCCTATTCTTTCTTTCCATGAGGGGAATGTCAACAGGAAAAAGGCCCCTTCCAGGGACTCTTGCAAGCAGTGACACTGTGCTGATGAAAACGATAGCTGTGCTTGGAAGACAGTCCTCTGAAGCTCCCTGTCTCTGTGTCACTTCAACAGCCACAGTTAGTCAGGTTAGGTGCTCCATCATCAGAATCCACACACTGATTTGAAACAAACACCAAGGCTGATTTGTAAAATGAATACAAACCTCATTAAATTATTAATGTGATTTGTTGGTCCTGAGATTATCATAAAAATAACAGTGATTCTTGAAGCCATGCCAGCTGATATGCTAGGTGCTCCTAACCTCACTCCATCAGCACCAGTGTTGAGGCTGGGGTCTGCTGACCTGGTGATAGAAAAGACTGCTGGTATGTGACTCACCTGTGATGCTTGAGTTAAACAGTGAGAGAAAAATCCTCATAGACATCTTGGGGAAAAAGGAATGGAGAGAACCCAATGAGCCAGATTTCAGACATAAGGGATGCTATGGCATTGGTAGGTGGATGGGGAGTATCCCCAAGACTTGCACAGAGACACTGGCCAGGTGAGCATGGTGTACCACCCTTAGATAACTGAATGGGTAAATGACAACATACACCCCAAGTGGGAAGACTGCTGATTGTCGAGGGCAGGGAATCATGCCCTCCCACTGTAAGATGGTGAAAGGCCTGTCCTGAAGGACAGACTAAAATTTTTATATAGGACACATGCCTGATTTGTAAAATGAATACCTACCTCATTAAATTATTAATGTGATTTGTTGGTCCTGAGATTATCATAAAAATAACAGTGATTCTTGAAGCCATGCCAGCTGATATGCTAGGTGCTCCTAACCTCACTCCATCAGCACCAGTGTTGAGGCTGGGGTCTGCTGACCTGGTGATAGAAAAGACTGCTGGTATGTGACTCACCTGTGATGCTTGAGTTAAACAGTGAGAGAAAAATCCTCATAGACATCTTGGGGAAAAAGGAATGGAGAGAACCCAATGAGCCAGATTTCAGACATAAGGGA